ACGATTTAAAAAAAAGAGAAAACAGGAAAACAGAACGGACGAGGGGATAATTCGTTTGGTTGGTTGCGTGCGGGGGGAGAGAGAGAGAGAGAGAGAGAGAGAGAGAGAGAGAGAGAGAGAGAGAGAGAGAGAGAGAGAGAGAGAGAGAGAGAGGACAACATTTTTTGTTGACATCAGTCAATTTGGTCGATACCACCATCCTGTTTACAGCATCATCAAGATTCATCATCCTATTCTCTCGGTTATCAGCACCATTCCTATTTGTTGGCTTTGGGTTTAGAAGCACCGTTCTATTTATAGCATCCCCACCGTTCTTTTTGATAATTCACTATGGCTTTGGGTTTAGAAGCACCATTCTATTTATAGCATCCCCACCGTTCCTTCTGGTAATACAATTCGGTTAACCGGTTCAGTTAATTCTAGGGACGTTTAGCGAGAAGATCGCTGGCACGGTTATGAGAGCACTATTCTATTTGGTGGTTTAGGGTTTAGGAGCCCCATTCTATTAATAGCATCCCCACCATTCCTTTTTTTTTTTCTTTTTTGCATCCCCACCATTCTTGTTCTTCTTTTGCTGACAGCATAAGTTATTTTCACGGCGGAGGTGATTTTTTTTTTTTTTTTTTTTTTTTAATTGCAAGTGAGAGTTTATCCTGTTTGATTCAACCAACAGCATCAGTCAGCTATCAACGCCATCGGATGCAGTGAATTCGATCGTGGTGGACTTTAATTCGCACACGACTTTACATACTTATCCACTTCAGTTAACAGCATTATTATTATTATCTAACTCAGTTAAAAAGCGTTATCCACTTCAGTCAACCACATTTATTAGCCACATTTATCCACTTCAGAAAACCACATTTATCCATTTCAGTAAACCACATTATCCACTTCAATTGACTTCAGCACCTCTGATGGCTTTATATATCTCGGAATCGATTTCAATTCACTCACAAGTTAGCGAAATTATCTACTTCAGTTAACAGCACTATTATCCAACTGAGTTAACCACATTATCCACTTCAGTTAACCACATTATCCACTTCAGTTAACTATATTATCTATTATCCACTTCAGTTAAAAAGCGTTATCCACTTCAGTTAACCACATTATCCACTTCAGTTAACTATATTATCTATTATCCACTTCAGTTAACTATATTATCCACTTCAATTAAGCACATTATCCATTTCAGTTGACAGCATTTTTTCTGTATCGGAATCTGCAGTAAGGAATTGCTGCTGGGCAGACGACAACAGGTCATGTGACGTATGACGTGAATATTCATTAGTGTCAAAATCTTCATGCACACGCATGTTCGCCTGAAAGCTCACGTGAAAGCTGACCTGAATGCTCACGTTAGATCTCATCACGGTATCAGCAGATGAATTCGAACATGAATGTGAGGCGAATGTTCCACATCCACGTGACTGGTCTTGTGAGGTGACCGTTTTAATGGGTGCTCACAGAGATGAATTGCGCAAGTGATGGTCCTTTGAATGCTGACATGAATGTTCATGTCACTCTTCACGTGAACGATAATGCGAGTGAGTGAATGTTACTCCGAAGTGCTCATGAGAGTCTGTGTGCGATTTTTGAATTTCCGATTTTCTCTATTCAACTGTGCTGCCATCAAAAGGAAGGTTACTTAAAAAACAAAACAAAAAAGGAAGGTTACAAGTTCAGCTGTGAGTTGGGACTTTGAGGTTTTTGCTTGTGTACTATCTATCAGTAATGGACATTTATTGATTCCTTAGGAATGTGGTACTTTCTTCCCTCTCCCTCCCCCCCTCTCTCCTTCGCCCCCTGACCAACTGCGGTCCTTTCCCCCCGGCCTTCCAAGCCCCCTCTTCTCCCTTTTGTCTCTCTCCATTGTACTTCTAGGTTGGTGTTTTGGAACATTCTTTTGGACGTGCGCTTGGTGAATGAGCGAGAAAGGGAGGAGAATGGTGATGGGAGGTAATTCATTGTGTGTGGCACCTTTGTCCTTGCTTTTGTGAAAGGGAGGATGAACTTGTTGTCCTCTTGTCTGCCAGGCGGTGGCTCTGCTGAAAGTCAGACTAGCCTCGGGGCAAGCCAGCGGAGCAGCGGGTGGAAAATCGTCAACCTCGTTGCCTCCTACTGCATCCGCCTCGTCAACGACACCAACATCGTCCAAGTCTTCCGGCAGCACCAGGTTGGCGTCAGAGCTGCCAGCCAACTTTTTCGAGGAGCCGCAGAAGAAGCATCACAGAGCCACAGGTGTGTGCCTTTTTCGGTTTTCTGCGCCCTTTGGACCGGACATGTGCAAATGCCAGTCTTTAAACCTGCTGTCAAAATTCAGACCCAAAAGGATGCAAAACCTTTACCGCCGTCGCCCCGCGATTGCGATCTTGTGTACCGTTTCTGCCTGTATGATAGCCTGCATGGCTCTCCCTGTTTGCATGTCCGTCTGCCTGCATCCCAGCATGTCTGCATGCGTGTCTTCTGTGAGTACCCACCTCGTCAAATGCCAGCTGGTCTGCATGCCTGCCTGGCTTCCTGCCTTTCTGCCTCTCTGCCTCACAGGTAATGCTTGTCATATGAACCTATGCGTGAGCTGGTGTATCCTTCCTGCCTGCTTGTCTGGTTGTTGCTTGTCGCTTGTCTGCTTGGGTGCTTGCTTGCCTGTCTGTGTCCTTGCTTGTGTGTGTTTGTGTGCTTTTCAGCTTGTCTGCTTGCTTGTCTGCTTGCTTGTCTGCTTGTTGCTTGTCGCTTGTGTGCTTGCTTGTCTGCTTGCTTGCCTGTTTGTGTGCTTGTTTGTGTGCTTGCCTGCTTTCTGCTTTTCTGCTTGTGTGCTTGCTTGTCTGCTTGCATGTCTGCGTGTCTGCTTGTCTGCTTGTCTGCATGTCTGCACGTCTGCGTGTCTGCAGGTCTGCAGGTCTGCTTGTCTGCATGTCTGTCTGCATGGGTGTCTATCTGTGCACCTGCTGTATGCCTCCTAGAATTTCAGCAACCTGTCTAGCTGCCTGCCTACCTTGTTTTAGAGAGAGAGCTGGTCTTGTGTGGGGTTGTTTGTGATCTGATGTATTCTATCCTTCCTGCCTGTCTGTGTGCATGCCAGCCTGCCTGTCTGTTTGTTTACGTCCGTTGAATGTCAGTGTGTCTGCATGCCTACCTGTCTTGAACTCATTTCTCGTGTGGCTTGAGTTCCCTTTATGATGATGATGATGATGATGATGATGATGATGATGATGATGATGATGCTCTGGGACCAACCTTTTCGATTTACCTGTTTGAATCAGTTTGATGGCTTTTTGGTGCTGTGGTGCACTGTTTTGCTCTTACATTTTTTTTCTACGACAACCACCTTGTGCATGTGAGTGAGAGCTTTCTGTGTTCAGGTTGAGGGGTGGATTCTCAGATGAGACTCCTAGTGTCCTTGTTGATCCATTGATTGGCAATGCACTTGAGTGAAACGACATTGCTTTTCATCGAGGGTTATAACTTAAGTTATTATAACGTAGAATACTCTGAAAACCTCTTGATAAGCATTCTAGGGTTATAGCTTATATAATAATAAAATACTCTGAAAACTTCTTGATAGGGTCAACGTTCCCCCCACTTTCCAGTTTTGTTTTTTTCTCCTGGGCTGTTTGTCCGGGCGCCCGGGCACCCAACTTGCACCCGGATACACGTCTGGGTGCCCGGCCGGGGGTGAACCCCAGGCAGGGTTTCGGCCAGCTGGAAAAGAACGGAAATGTGGGAAACAAGCGCCCGCTGTGAGTACACAGCACTTTCTGCTTTCCCTCGAGCTCCGGCCTTCACTACGCGTACTGGAACCACTTCCTTAAGTCTTGTGTTCTCAGAGCTGTTCGATCACTTGTCTTCTTTTTAACTCGGAATTATCAGCATTGGACAACAACAGGTACACAGTGCTGATCTAGCATTGATTCCTGGAGGTCCATCGCGGTCCGTCGGGTTTCTCTTTCCTGTCCTGACATCTCCAGTCTGTCCTGACATCTCCACTCTGTTCCGTTGGGTACTGTAGAAACTCCTCCTGTACCCCCTGACAACCCCTGTTTTGCTTTATGTGACATTTTGACCCTGCGCGTAGTCATATGGGCCTCGCTCCACTGCTTGCCTACCGTCTTCACCTTAATAGAATGCCCGGTCGTTTTCCCTGTATTTGGGGCAACTTTCCGTCCAGATGCGGCGATAATGGCCAGGCATGCTATTCGGGTGAAGACGGTAGTGTGAAAAATGGCGACTGTATTTTCCAAGTTTGGATGGAGAGGTTCAGCCACTAGTTTTCACATTTGGGGAGTAGCGGAGGGGGAGGCCCTCCTATGTCTGACATTGGCGAGTATAAGATGAAAAACGGATGGTGATTGGGAATTGATCGGAAAACACGTTAGGTCATCCTCACACCTGGACTTTCAACGCTAAATCTAGCCATAAATGTGGTCAAATACGTTCTGGACAGTCCAAGTGTGAATACGCCCTTATCACACGTACAATTTGTGAGCCTGCATCACGGATCTATGCGCGGCATATCTGCATCGAAATGACATTTGAAGTCCCACATCATTAAGTGGAATGGATTGCAAAGAGAAAAGAATGCAAAATACTGAGTGTGGCGGGGACCACATTCTGTTCTCTGTGATTTGACAGCCGATGGCGGCAGCACAAGGGCGAGCGCGCCTTTTCACACGGGCAAGGGTGCTGCGCATTCACAGAAAACTGCACTGCCATCTGCGGGGGCAGGTGTAGAGATCCGAACAGGAACAGCGGGGCTAGCCGTGGCGGCTTCGGGACCTCCCACGGTTGTTGTTTCTTCGTCGGGCGTGCAAGGCAGATCTTCCTCGACTTCTGCACCTGCACGATCTGATTTGGCAGGAGCAACTTCAGGAGGGAGGAGCACGGGGATCACCGCGGCCACGTCAGGGAGGGAGCGAGTTGCAAAGGAGCTCCCTGCTGGGTTCTTTGATAATGAAGGAGGGCGGCAAAAGCCCCGGCTCCCTGGTGGGGGTGCTCAGCAGAGTGCCCCTTCGAAGGCAGCATCAGGGAGGGCTGGAGAAATGGCGACAGCTGGGGAGGATGCTGCATCTACTGCCTTGCCGGAGGGTTTCTTCGATGACGTTGCTGCAGATCACAAGGCAAGGGGGTTGGAAATGAAGAAGGTGGTTATACAGTTAAGTGAATCGACCAACTAAAGGCCATCGTCAAAGTTTTGCTGAAATGCTCATAAAATGATAAAAGACTCGTGCAATCGATGAGTGCAAAAAAGAGCCTCTCTGACTTGCTCTTTCTCCTTTTGTCCTTGCATTCGTCCGGTCGTTCTCCTTTTGTCCTTGCCATACTAGATTTCAACCATACATTCATTATTACCATTGATGCATGCTACTGTCTTCTTACGGACACAATGCACCCCGATCATGAATGTATTTCAGGACTGAATACAGTCGTGATTAGGGTGCCAATGCGTTCCTCGATCATGAATGTATATGAGCCATCTTTCAGGTCTGATACAGTCACGATAAGCGCGCAATGTGTTACAGCCTTCAGAAAGGGACGACAGTTCCGTAGTTGCTGGAAAGATGCTCTTTGTCCTGTGCAACAACATCGGTGGCAAGATGTTAGAAGCGTCATGAAGCAAGGATGTGCATCTAGATGATCTGTTCATCTGAAGATGCCATGGCCCCATCGGCACTTAACCTGCCTCTTTTCTCACCTCTCCAGCATTGGCGAGAGAGGCAGCAGTGAATGTTCCAGAACCCATAACCGAGTTATGACAAGGAGATTCACCTGAAGATGCCATGGCCCTATCAGCACTTAACCTGC